AAGGATGCCCAAGCCGCCTTTACATATGGTAAAGGTCGTATCACATTGACAGCAGCACCGTTCACATGGCAGGATGTTGGTATGCTCTCTATGGTTTAATCAATCATTCTTTCCCATTTTAACACATCAATTAGTGGATGCTTTACTCGATGCGGGTATTCCTCTCCCTCTCTCTACGCCGAGGGGAGAGAAAGGAGCGGGAAAGAATACTGTTCACCCTGTCTTAGTAAACTCTGTTCGTGCCAGGGAAGAGCTGGGATTGAAATTCCGGTCCTTGACGGACGTTTTCCGAGACACCTTCCAGGATTTCAAGGAAAAAGGCTGGATTCAAGTTTAGATGCATAAGAAGATACGTACTTGAGTAGCATAGCGTTGCAATGTTTGAAGATCGTTATACCGTGACGCATATGTAAATAGATGAGGAGTGGAAGCACTTCATTGTTCAATTTTGAAGAAATGGCCATACTGAGGGATCACAGCTTCGAAAATATTGCGCCATATGCCTTTGCGAGAACCTCACCTCAGGCATTGAAGTGCCACGGAAAACGGTACCAGAAGGGATCAGAGAGATAGGTTTGTGAACAGACTCAACCGCTGAACTCTCACGTTTCCTGCCAGCGACGGCTCCTATTCGCTCCTTACAGATTTGTAAAATCAGTACTTATTTATTCAAAAAAATCGATGTGTTTAAACTGGCAGGACGTACACATCTACTCCAGTTGCATAAGTATATAACCTGCACGGATATAAAGGCATGCTTATTTTCTCATACGATACTACTAAAGTCTGAAATAATGAGCTATAAATGAGGTTACACGCATCATGGCGGAGAACCTACCCAGTCCGGTTAGTAAAATACTTCGTGAGGCGAGGCAGTCTATCACCTTACTAAGATCCAAATCGATTTCTCAGCTTACGTTAATATAAGGAGATGGTGTGGCGATAAGCACCAACACCAACGGCCGATCGGGGTGAGAAACCCGATTAGCCGGTTATAACCGCCGTTCGGAGATCGATAAGCAACACGGATGTACTTTAAGCTGTGGCAAAGCGGTTATGTTTGGATTCAGTAACTAAGTCGAGCCTGCGGGCTTATAAAAGGCTTCATGCGAAGGCTTTCGATACACACATCAATGGCTCCTCTCAAAGTTCTCGTCACCGGCGCATCAGGTTTTGCCGCAAGCTGGGTTGTGAAGGAAAGCATCTCGCGAGGCTATTTCGTTCGCGGAACAGTTCGCAGTGTTCCAAAGGGAGAATACCTCAAGAAATTATTTGGCGACCTATTCGAGTATGTAATAGTAGAAGATGTTGCGAAGGTATTTTTCAGTAATAATGAATCTTTCTGAAATTTCTTATAATGTGTTTGCAGGAGGGTATTTTTGATGAGGCTGTGAAAGATGTGGACGCCGTTGTGCATATGGCTTCTCCGGTCACATTTGACGTCCAGGATCCCCAAGGTATGTATGTCTAAAAACTTGTCAAGATATAGGATTGAGGATTCTTCTAGAGCTCATCGGGCCTGCGGTCGGAGGAACATTGTCGATTTTGCGAAGCATCCTCAAAAACGGGTATGTCTAACATCTCGTTTGAATGTTCAATTCGAACACGATGCTTACTTTTTCTCAAAGACCCAATGTTAAACGTGTTGTTTTAACCTCGTCTTTCGGAGCAATTGTTCCCTTCCCCCAGCCAGGGGATCCCCAGAAGAGATACGATGAATCATCATGGAACAATGCTTCCGTTGAAAGCGTAGAGAAAGAGGGATCTAAGGCTTCCCCAGGACATATATATAGAGCTAGCAAAGTTCTCGCCGAAAAGGGTGAGTCGTCTTTCCATTTCTACCATTTCCTCAGAACCTGATTTGTATTGCTTTAGCTGCCTGGGAATTTGTGGATAAACACAAAGATGAGATTAAATGGGATTTAATTACTATTCAACCTCCCTTCGTGCGTGCGCCTTATTCTTTCATCACCGTATTTACATTTATTCTTTATTTTGCATCCCTTTTTCTAGATCTATGGTCCCATTATTCATCAAGTGCGCAATACTTTACTTTGTGTGACGTTTCGTCTGAATTAATATTATTTTGACAGGTTTCTTCGCCTTCTTCTCTTAATGAGTCTTCTGCCGCCATCTTCAGGTTCTTTAAGAATATACCCCCTAGATCGAACAAAGATCTCAGTAACGCAGCGGGCAGCGTTGTTGATGTCCGAGACGTTGCATGGGCACATGTGGAGGCCATCACAAATACCAAAATTGCCAGTAAGGATGCCCAAGCCGCATTGACAGAAGGTAAAGGTCGCATCATCTTGGTTGCGGCCCGCTTCACATGGCAAGATGTTGGTACGTTCTCTATATTCCAATTAGCCTTTTTTTTTTTTCGTTTTAACGTTCAATTAGTGGATGCCTTAGTCGATGCGGGTATTCCTCTCCCTGAATCTACGCCGCGTGGAGAGAAAGGAGCAGGCAAGAATACAGTTCACTCCGTCTTGGTAGACTCTGTTCGTGCCAAAGAAGAATTAGGATTGAAATTCCGTTCCTTAACCGAAATCTTCGGAGATGCCTTGAAGGACTTCCAACAAAAGGGCTGGCTGTAGATGCAGGAACTTAGGAAATTATTACACTTACATATGTCATGGGCCAAAGAGGTTTGAAATAGGTTAGAGTTGGATAGATGAGGGCCTAATTAATTATACCATCCTTAAATAATACACAAGCAATACTAGAGGAAATTACATATTATTAACCTCGCTATCTTGCGAATGACTGGATCAATTTCGCGAACCAATTCAATGGACACTGACCTCTTCAATATAGGCAGAGCCCCAATGAGGAATGTAACGCCACCTGCCTATACAGAGTCGAAGTAATCACCGATGATTCAAAGACAGGTAGGACTAAAGCATTCATAAATAGAATAAGAAGGAACTTGATACCAGCTATTGTTTTACGACGCTATATAATCACATAGGACTCGAAATTGAATATCGGTGTAGAAAATTTATTGCTGGAACTTTATAACCTTATTATTCGAAAACATGGACCGTCGCCGTTACACTTGAATGAAAGTCAAGCTGCCTAAAATTGGGCGAATACCTTCAGCTGAGGATAAAAGTGGAAGTTACTCAGCAAGATCAAGCATGATTAAGGAATTTACATGAGACGACGAATGCTGTTATTTGTGTAAAGAAGGGAGTGGACGTTGTATTTATTAGTTATGTAAATATGATATTGATTTCTGCTTTCATTTATTCAACAATTTGGGAATAGGTCATAATCGTGAAACCAGAGCGTTCAACGTTAACTTAGTTCTTACCATCAGGTGTATCGAAAATGGTGCCTTTATCATCATTATGGCAGGTGCATACTAACGCGTGAATGGGATACAACCCTCAGATTAACATCCGAAAACGTCACCTTCCAAGTTCAAGTCAGGATTAACACCCAATAGATCATCTTACGCAGAGGATATCCTTTCATGTTCACGGAGAAAGCTAAATGTACTTCATGAGTAAAGGGCCCTCCCTGGCAGATGCGTAATATTGCTGAACCGGTCTTTCCTATGCAGTGATATTAGCGATTGAGGAGAACTAACAACCTATAAACATTTTGAAACCCTGAAGCGTTATATAATCGGGTTTTATCTTCCTCGTGTAATCCAGCGACAAGGTTGGATGAAGAATCGCACCACACCAACGCGCAAGATAGCAAGGAATTATCACATTGCGTTGTATTAAATATATCAACCAACCATTAACTTCTCATGTTATACGTACACTATGAAGTAGACGAGCCTTCCGCTGCCTGCTTTTGCTGTTCCAGCAAGCGTCTATTTACAGCAATGTTCAGAGAGTGCGAACTCGGACAGTAAATGGATGTATAGACTCACTTCCTTGCTGCCAACACCATCTGCGCCTTTCTCTCTCGCAAACTAGCCTCACGTCGCTCAGCTGTGTCTTCCCATACGGCTTTCCCTCCAGGATCCACCGCGGAAGTTAGAGCATTCTCGGATTTCAGATGTTGTTCTAGATGGAAGCGTTCGATGAGGTTCGCGTTAGCTGCACTGGAAGATGAAGCAGCGTTTGCCGCAAGTGGAGCGTTCTCAGCGAGTCTTGCAGCTGTAGCTGGTTGAACGGGGTACAGTTCGTGATAACCTCGAGGGGGCTACATCAAGTTCAGTTAGCAGTTCCCGGTTACAGCGATGGAACTCACCGGTTCTAAGAAGCCGCGTTCTAATAGCTTATTAGAAGTGACCTCTACGCTACCAGTTCGTAAAAGGTCGTATCGAATATTGTCTCTATGTGAACAGGTATGAGTGGCTTCGGTGAAGGCGAGGTGGGTGAAGGGCATACCGAGGAATGTCTGGGAACATGCTCTGAACCGTGGATATCTACCCCCATATAAGCTATAAATTCAGATATATTTGGTATAAAGAACTCTACCATGTCATCGGTGACACGTTTGGGACGAAAACCTAGTAAGTTGCGAGCACGATCTGCTTCGTTATTGCCGCCACCTATTAAAGAGCTCGTTAGACAATATATATCATGAACAGCAAAGTCAACTCACCTCCACCCATGGCCCATCGCACTATAAAGACGATAACTGCAAATGCAACCACGACGTTGACGACTTCACCCATCACGGCAGGTTGGAACTTTCGATTGCTTATGTAAATCTACCATGGAACTTCCTTCTTTGGACGGGAACGTGGATGGAGCCATATTTCGATGAATATCACCTATAAAGATTCCTTACAATTATCAAAATGATTCAAAGGTGAGCTAAGTGTCGGTTTATACTTCACTTCAGATGCCGCTAGCTCCGGCGTTCATCTTGAACGGATGGCGAAAGGCAAAGCTAAGGTAGGACAATTCTAACCGGGTTACCTAGACAAGGTCGTGGTTTCAGGAAGGGAGGAATTGTACAGAGGTAGTAGAAAGGAATGATTAGGATATTACGCGTATCAAAGCAATAACAAGGAACGACTTAAAAAAGAATGCATTAAACAAGAATTGAACTCGCGGCTGGTCGAACAGGCTAATCTGGCAACGACCAAGGTTACCACTACCCGATTAATGCATATCATGGTTATAGTAGACTTTCTCATAACGCATAGCGTTGGGAAGGGCCCAAATCCCATGCATTATTAGAATTATGCATTATCAGGTGGTGTTTTGGTTGGGATAAGGCCATTTCGTATGGCAAAAAGCCATGCATTATAAGAATTATGTAATATCAGTCCATGCATTATGAGACGGACAACTGTATTTCGCAAGTGATCCTGGCCTCCACGTCCTCGGAGGCTATGGCGGGAGCACAAATTACGTCATTGAGTCATTTCGAATTCAACATTAACAATTAGCTTCGCTTCCAGAAAGATCTCGCTGTTCTAATGGGTTATTCATTCATTCAAGTGAAACTAACATGAGTAACATCATGGACGAAAGAGCCCTAATTTTTATAAATAATATTGCAGGCTATATTAACCCCATATATGCTATGTTCTATCCGTACTAGTTTCCTAGGCTCTCACATCTAAATCCAGAGCTTTCCCTGGAAGTCCTTCAAGGTATCTCCGAAGATATCGGTTAAGGAACGGAACTTTAATCCCAAGCCTTCAATGGCGTGAACAGAACTGCCTGCTATGGGAAAACTATATTCTTGACCGCTCCTTTCACTCTTCGCGGCATAGATTCAGGGAGGGGAATAGATGTATACAGTAGAGCATCTGCTAAGCATGTGGCACGTTACTACTAATAAATGCTAATGGAATTATATAGAGAACATACCGACATCCTGCCATGTGAAAAGGTCCGCTATCATGATAATGCAATCTTTCCCCTCTATGGAGCCCGCTTGGGCATCCTTGTTGGCGAGCTTATCGTTCGTGATAGCTTCAACATGCGCCATGCAACGTCTCGGACATCAACCGAATTTCCCATTGGGATAGTGAGATCTTTGGGTGGCATGAGGGGTTCATTCATCAAGAATCTTAGAAAGGCGACAGAAGACGTGTTGAGGGATGAGGTAGAGCGAACCTACAAATTAAACCAGCATAAGATAATACGAAAAGATTGTGGAGATTAGATCTTTGTGTACTTCATGAATAATAGGACCAAATATCTAGAAGTGTGGTGGATAAAATAATTGAGAAAAATATTAATAACAAGTCAAATATGGTACGCACCAAGGAAGGGAAAAGAGTAATTAAATACCAGTCGATTTCATCTTTATGACTATCCACAAATTCCCAGGCAGCTGATGGAAAGTCAATCAGATTATGAAAGTGGAAAGACGATAAACTGCGCTCACCTTTCTCGGCGAGAACCTTGCTAGCTCTGTAGATTTGTCCTGGGTGTGTCCGACAGCCCTCTTTATCCGCGATGTCTACAGCATTATTATTCCATACTGATTCGTCATACGTTTTCTGGGGATCACCCCGGTTGGAACATAGGGGTGACCGTCGCATAAGATGAGGTTATCGCAACACGTTTAACGTTACCCCTTAAGGACGGTAATAGATATTTAAAAACAGTTAGTCATAATGGTAATATGAAGCATCTGATATACCCGTTTTTAAGGATGTTTTTCAAAATAGATGTCGTTCCTTCAACTGCAGGTCCGATGAGATCTGGCATAGAGAGTTAATAGTGTATTTTAATAAGTCATACAAGACACGTACCCTGAGGATCCTGAACATTGTAACGGAAAAGGAATGCCGTGTGCAGAACAGCATCCATGTCTTTCACTGCCTCATCCGAAGCACCATCCTGGAAAATCGTGAGATATTCTCGAAATGCTGTTAGAATACGCATACCTTTACAATGTCTTCTACTATCACATACTCAAAATTATCCCTGAATAATGCTTTGAGATATTATCCCCTTTCAGTGCTACGAACTGTTCCACGGACGAAATAACCTCGCGAGATGTTTTCTATCGCAACCCAGCTTGCGAAAAAGCTAGAAACACCAGTGACAAGTATTTTGAGAGAATCCATTGTTCGATATCGATATTGAATGTCTTAGCCATAAAGACTTTTATATATTTGCATGTCCTTGTCCCGTATATCCTGTTCCTTATATCGAGTCATGTCTGGTTAGTAGTGCTTGCGCAAGCACCACGAGCCGAATCCGCTAAATGACACGTCTAGCAGAGATATAACAACGGCCGCAACTCCCTTTGCAGCCTTGGAACTGCTTTTGACAAGCCTTCCACATATCCTCTGTGATGCTTACAGGTTGATACTAATGGAGCGTACCTTACGAATATGATTAAACTGAAATTCGCCAAGTTTTTCGAATACTCACTTAGTATGCCTTTCAATTGTGTTCGTATGTTCAAATTTGTTCACGGTTTTATTCACGTTTGCCGGTATTTGGAAAAGGTTGCACTGTAGAGTAGTTTTACTTTTGGACTTCCCACCATAGACTCTTGTATACTTCGAACTCATAGAATCAATCAAACATATATATAAACAGCTTGCTTGTGTCCAATAAATGCTTCCCCGATCTCCCTACAGATCGAGGAACCACGGCTGATGACGAAGTGGCAAATTACTATCTGCCCTTCGACTTCCCTCTTTAATTATAACTTCTCCGCGACAGGCCGGTTGTCTTTTGTTGAATTTTTCTTGTACAGAGCGCAGTTCGGATACAGTCTCTTCCTTCCTGATTGTTAGTATGACATTCCTAACAGGCAAGACGACTCCTACTGACCGCCTTCCATCTCCGGAAAATGTAATTACCGCATACCGACATCATTTAATGAAAAAATGATTGTATTATTATAAGTGATATTATAAACCATAGGCCCACGACAGATGAATGTGTACTAAAAATCCCCGCATCTACAGCCAGCCCCTTTATTGGAAGTCCTTCAAGGCATCTCCGAAGATTTCGGTTAAGGAACGGAACTTTAATCCTAATTCTTCTATGGCACGAACAGAGTCCACCAGAACGGAGTGAACTGTATTCTTGCCTGCCCCTTTCTCTCCACGCGGCGTAGACTCAGAGAGAGGAATACCCGCATCGACCAAGGCGTCCACTAATTGAACGTTAAAACGAAAAAAAAAACAGGCTAATCAGAATGTAGAGAACGTACCAACATTTTGCCATATGAAGCGGTCCGCAACCAAGGTAATGCGACCTTTACCCTGTCAATAGGGCTTGAGCACCCTTGCTGGCAATTTTAGTATTTGTGATGGCCTCCACATGTGCCCATGCAACGTCTCGAACATCAACAACGCTGCCCACGGCGTCACTGAGATCTTTGGCGGATCTAGGGGGTATATTCTTAAAGAACTTGAAGAGAGCGGCAGAGAATTCATTAAGAGAAGAGGGCGAGGAAACCTATGAAATCACATTAGTTCAGATGAATGGGATAGAGATAAGGTATTGTGTACTTGATGAATAATGGGACCATAAACCTAGAATAACGGGAGCGATGTAAATAATCAATATACTTAAATAGTATGACGCGAGAATCAAACGCACCCATGAAGGCTGGATGGTAATCAAATCCCAGTTGATTTCATTTTTATGTTTATCTACAAATTCCCAAGTAGCTGAAATACCAATCAGGCTAGAAAATAGTAGGACTGCAGAGAGGACTGCTCTGCTCACCCTTTTCGGCGAGAACTTTGCCAGCTCTATACATATGATCTAGAGATGTCTTGGGACCATTTTCTCTACGATTTCAACGGAGGTATTGTTCCATGATGCTTCATCGTGTCTCCTCTGGGGATCGCCTAGCTGGGTCACGGGAACAATTGCCCCAAAAGACGAGGTTATTACAACCCGTTTAACATTGAGTCTTGGCGAAAACAAGCATGTCTCCGAATTGAACATTAATACAAGAGGCTAGACATGCCCATTTTTGAGGATGCTTCGCAAAATCGACAATGTTCCTCCGACCGCAGGTCCGATAAGCTCTAGTATAGAGGAATTCTCAATCCTATATCCTGTCAAGTTTTTGCAACATACATACTTTGAGGATCCTGAACGTCAAATGTGACTGGAGAAGCCGTGTGCACCACAGCATCCACATCTTTCACGGCCTCATCAAAGGTGCCATTCTGCAAAACTGTTAAAGAATTTTGGAAAGGTCCACCGTTACTGAACTATAATATACCTTCGGAACATCTTCTACTATTACATACTCGAATTGGCCGCCAAATAATTCCTTGAGATGTTCCCCCTTTGCAGCACTGCGAACTATTCCACGAACTAAATAACCCCGTGAGTTGCTTTCCTTCACAACCCAGCTTGCGACAAAACCAGATGCACCAGTGACGAGAATTTGAGAGGAGCCATTGTCCGGATACCTTATTCATGAAGTCCTTTATAAGCCTCGACTTAGTCACTTAATCATTTGCCACAGTACATCCGTGCTGTGGCTTATCAATGTATCAAGCCTGCTGCATAGACTCATAATCTGTGGGTACTCTGTAAATCTGAGCTTGAATTAGATAGGAAAAGAACAAAGATTGCTATGTGAATATTACCACAGTGAAACAAGACTCAGTGTTCAGCCTCCATTCCCTTCTGCTCCATCTACACATATATCCTCAAGACTTCAATGGAGCCTTATCCAATTCATGCATCGCGAGAAGCCTGCGCGTCATCGGGGGATGAGAAGACGTCTTCTAGTTGATGGTCGTTGTCTCCGGTACTTTAAGCCATGAATATATACCTCTGTTATAGTATCATTCCACACAGGAGGACTCCTCAAACGAATTTGAAAGGCAGCGGGGCCCAGCGCCAAGGTATAACACGACCTACACCCACACGTCCCCACAGCCCACAGTCCACCCCAATTCTAACTCCGCGCCGACCCATTTTCTCGTCACCCCAGCGAACGCACCACCTCGGCGTCGTTTTTCCTCACTTCAAGACCAAAACTATCAAATATGGTGAGTATTCGTGTCTTCTTTACTTGTGGGGTGCTTTTGGATGGAGTTGGAGGGCTGGGGGCGATGGATGGGTGAGGTGGACTTGGGATGTGTGTACGCGGGGGCAGGCTTTGGTGGATTTGGGCATTCGGATTGCATTGTCCACGGAACATATTCCATTGCGATT